ACTTTTTAGGGTAAAGTTTTCTGACAAGCATTCTAATCTTCATGGTTATGGTTCATTTATACATACCATTTGTGTATCGACAATGTCATTCGTCAATGATTGACTCACGGTTGTTTATTTTTGACCCCATTGAAGAGAACCATCCTATCTGTAACATAGGGTAAGGAATCATGCTATTCCGCGAGTCAACTTTCTGCCAAGAGCATGGAGTTAAATATAGACACGATTCTGTAATTTCCTAGCCTCGGTAAAAACGTGGCTTAGGCATTGAAGATACTCCTTTTGCTCCTTTAACGTTCTGTATAAGCAGTATCTTATCAAGAGTATTACACCGCAAGATAATGGCAACAGTGCTTCTGTGCGGCTGTATAAAACTCGTGATAACCTACTGTAGAATAATAAGAATTTGAAGATATTCTCAATAGTAAAAAAGGGAGGAAAGGACTCGAAGACTCTTACAGTTCAAAAACACACATACTTCTTGATGAATTTACTTCATTTTCAGCAATGAAATATAACTATATATACATAGGTATTGAAAAATGAATTGACGTTCAGTAATACTGATTCCAGCCGGTCTATCTCTGTAACCTAACTATCTTTTACTCACAAAAATCATTTAAAAAAATCGACAAGATTTGCACAAGAAAAAGAAATGCTTTGAAAGAGTGACCAATTACAGAAATAGAATGCTGTTTTTTTGTATCGTGTGTGAAAAAGTAGAATCATTGGATTCCAGCGGCGAGTTAAGGAATGACTTTCGGCTGTCACGGCAGTACAAAAAAACTCTATGATGAATAGATAGAAGATGAAATTTTAGGACTTTGATATATGGCTTTACGGGGCGTGGACTAATTTACAGAAATTTTCTAACTCCGTGGTATAACAAATTCGATTCAAAATGTCCTTTAGTTTGAATTTGAAGGATTCATTTCTCCCTAAGTCACAGCCAATGTACCCAATGCTTCTCACAACTTTCTAACACACGCTGTTTGGCATATACTATGCGCGTATAATAATACTTTGAATAGTTGAAATATATATTATTTATATTTATGTATATACATTCAGCTTCAGAAAATACATACATTTACTTATAAATATTATTTGTGTTTTTCATGTTTCCTTTGTATGTATGTACTCATGTGATGTATATTTTTGAACGTGTAAGCTTGCGAGAGGTATGGTGGGTATGGATTATGGTTTACTTTATGGTATAGGTGTGTTTTTGTCTCCCTCTGTGGTAAGTACTTGTCGAAAAATAATCTACTGGTATATTCTTTGTTACACACGCTGACCATTTTAGTATACAGTGCACAATATAAGAAAATGGAAATTGATGTGATTCACTATACATTCAATTGCTCCGCGTACAATCAGAGTATGCAACTAAATATAGCTAAACGCATCACTTATTTGTGAATTTTTTCTAATAAGTAAGTTTCTACAAGTTTGACGAAGTCATGTGACGGGCAACATTGTAATTTTTGAAAAGGTGTAAGAATTTTTGTGTAACTGAATACAAATATCAGCGTGTAGTTCATACATCACAAGAACGCGAGGCTTTTTCAAAAACTGTACAATTGAAAAATTGAATATCCTTGCGACGTAATACAATCCTTATGCAATACTTTTTACAAAAAAGCGATATAGTAGTTACAATATACTTATGTCATTCTAAACATCCGCTAAATTATTATATTTGCTATGGCAATTAGTGGCATACCTTGAAAACATGAGATAAAATATCAAAGGCTCAACAAAAAACAACTTTGGCACATATAACTAGATCATCAGTTATTACCTGATAAACTATATAGATAATGATAATAACATTCAAGAAATGGGTATTGCTAGTGAAAATTATTAGATAGTTCATGAAAATGTGCACATTAAAATCGAATCGAATCATTATTGACTTTGCTCAGCAGAACAACTTTAGTGACTCAATAATTTGTGTATGAGAAAAATCTAAAGTATCTTTATACATTTAATTATAAAATATTGCATTAGAGATAAATATGTTTATATACAACACTCTGATAACAAACAAATTGTACTTATTTATTTGATAATCCATGTTCTCATTTGTAGGAAATAAATAAAAAATGAAAAAGGTATATAAAAGGTTATATGAGAAGATAGTAGTTTTTTACATAAAAATGAAATCAGTCGATAGAGTAATTAATATTAGTGTGGTCCATAAAATACAAAAGTATCTTTTTTTCATCAACGATATATTTCAATGGTGAAGAGAATAAGGTAGATTTTGGTGGCATTTCGTGGAAGAAAAACGAAACACATTCGGGGTGAGAGTTTCTATAAAAGAACAAACAGTCTCAAGGGTAGGTTTAGACTTACTTCTTTAAGGAAAAAATATCACAGCGCACAGAGAGAAACAAGATGATGGTGCGAATACATAAAATCAGTAGAGACGACAAAATGCAACCGGTGGTATCAAATTATATATAATATCCGCATGTTGCCAGTTCCAAACTTGGGCCAGCAGTTGTTTAAATCATTTTTTTAATTTGAACATGTTTTTTTTCACCCCGGACTGGACGAAGTTTTTTAGGTTTCTTGGATCATTCTGAACAAAAAACATGCTTATGAACATTTTTTCAAAGTTGTTAGTTTCCGAAAGCGAAGAGATTTAATATTTTAAAAAGTGCAAAATCTGCAATTTTCGACCCCGAAAGACAATATGAAAAAAACAAAATTTCAAGATACCAAAGTTCCTGAACAATCTCAAAACATCTACAATGCTAATCCAAAAGTATTTTTGGGGGTACTATTATTGTTAACCTTTGTTTTTTGACATTGATTAAGTGAGTTAACACAGAATATACAAAGCGCACGCTTGATTAACAATTAAAAAACAAAACGTCTACACTAATAATATCCCCTAAAGTGCTATACGGTTTTATTAATGGTCGTTTGAAGAATATTTTAGAAACAATTTCATTGTAGTTTAGGTTTTTCATATTGTTTGTCGGGATGATATGTTGAACTTTTTCTAAGATGAAATCGCTCATCTCGAAAACCAGAGAAAAATTCATAATAACCTTTTTTGTTCATAATGGCTCCGTATCGAAAAAATGTATTAGGAACTAGTCTAAAACCTTGCTTGAACAATTTTTACAGCAATATGCAGATTTTTTTTAATAAGATTACGCAAAAAACGAATCAATCAATATTTTTCTTAAATCTTAAATCAAATCCACACATCTGGGGCATAATTTTCAATAAAAATTTGTTTGCTACGCTGTGTAGCATTTTTTATGAATTTAGAGATCTTTTAAATTATCGCGATGCTGCAATGTGTTTTGGTGCTTTTGATAATTTGATATTTTTGTTGTCTCTGCCGAAAATATGTCAAAGAGAATATAGGATAGGCAGAGTGTGATAGACGACATTGAAAATACGACTACCACAGCTAGAGGCACAGATAATTGACTCAACTAACGTATTCTTACGACATTCATATATATTATTATTAAAGAATGCAGTTTGTCATGAACACTACAGAAAAAATATATAGACCTATGTTTAACACACAGACAGATAAACTCTGATATTTCATTGATTGGATCGTATACACCCAATCAATTCACAATGGAATTATTGTTTCAGATTATAACATATTGTTGGCTGTTTTTGAGCACAGTTAAGCTTAGGCCTCAGTAGAAAAACGATATGGGTGAAAGTATTGTTAAATCATTTTCAAAGTTACACTTACACGACAACAAATTCAAGACAATCCAAAAACACGGTTCCATTAAAAATGATATACAGGACGAGTTTTTAGTGTGGGTTCGGCAGAAAACTCCGTTATTACGAATGGTATCTAAAAATTTATATTTAAAGAACAGCCAACAGCATGCACCCTACTTGGAAAATATTTTTATCTCTACGAGGTGATTCATAACTACGTGGTGACGCAAACATACTTTTTGTAAATGGCGAGCCCCACACTTTGTTGTAGATTTGGATAGGCCCTGTCCAACATAATTGGACATAACCTTATAGTTGAATTTTCAAATTGTTGAAATATCGGATATTCTATCGGAAAAACACTCAATTTTGCCTCACACATCCGTAACTACTGTTATACCTAGAGTACTAATTTATTCGTCATAATAATTTTATGATTCCATATATTCTCTCTATCTACATACATTTCCAATATTTTGGTAGTTTATACAAGGTAGTCAGGTACGCAAAATGAACGATTTATCAAAATTTTATAATTTTTCTAATATAAGATTTAGGAGGTCCGTACAACTGATTTTTAAGTTACTTAAAACATACTTCCTGACTTAATGTTAGGTAGGTTTAATTTATAATTAAAATACGAAAATTCTCGATATCTGCCGTTACGAACTGAATCCTATGTTCATTTTGCAAGTTATTATAATATTTTTCATTTACCTTGATATCCAATTTACAAAAAAGTTAACGGTAACTCAAAAATCATCATAAAATTCTTCTGCAAATAAATTCAGTGAGAGTTATCAAAGTTGAGCTTTTTTTTCGATAGATTGCTCAATTTATAAATAAAACCATATAGCAAGTTATATCCAATTGCTTCGCCTGGAAGTGCCTATCTACAATAAAATGTAGGTATTTTCCTTTAAGAATATACATCTAGAAATAAATATATTTTCTAAGTAAGGCGCAGACTGTTGGTTATAATTTTTGCAACTAATTTTTTTAAATGCCAAAATCTCACCCTTTGTATGTGAGTCAGTGGAATACAAAAAATCATATAGTGGTGTTCGTTTATTATACTGATATTAACATTTGTAAATATCTTACATTTTGGGAAAATAATTTCATCCGATTATGTGCAAGTGTACACTTGAAAATAGTTTTCATTAGAATGCAGAAAATATTATAATTTATTGTAATACATTCTAAGTACCTTTAGTAAAGCTTTTGTCAGTTGGAAATTATAAATGATACCTTCACAATTTGGCAGCATAATCACTTGATAAAAAATGGTGTTACATGCTCTCATCGAAATAAATAAAAATCACAAATAACGTCGTATGATGCCTGACTAGAAAACTGCGAGGAATCTCTACAAAACAATCAATAAATATCAGACACGACAACCTAGTTATTCACTATTATCATTATACAAATCTATAGCGTATAATCTAAAAATATCACTATCAACTAAAATCAATTTACAATTATTTTAGGATTTCCCTGAACTAAGCTCTCAGTATCCGACTTTCAGAAAATCTGCTATCCAAACATTGGGGTAAATATATTTAGACTACATAATTACCATTTTATACTGACTCTTAGGACATGTGTCAATCAATTTCCAGGAATTTGTCAATAAAATTTCGGGCACAATTTGATTATTGATCTTTACAATAGTTTCACTTTAACTATACCCTTAGAAATTAACTTGTTAGGCACAAGGGTTACCACTTCTGTGTCCTCCTCTATGCACCCATGATAAATCCCTTAGGGGGTTATACCGTGGACGCGGCAATTCTTGACTTGATTATATTGAGTGATACTGAATTCATAGTTTAGAGGTACTCCTAAAACGATTGCCTTGGTGGGAGGAATCAACTGAAACCTATCCAATACGAGTATATAATACTATACGATATGAACTATGTCTTTTAAGTACGACTCTTTGAGTCTTGAATACCGGAGAATGACAAATTCACGAAGTATTCCAATACAATTCAAACTCTTTTGATCAATAATTGAATTTTTAAAAATTATTTTGCAATCATTGCTCGTGAAACTAGTCCACTTTAGCACTGTTACATTTTTGAAGAAATAACTTTCATTTTCTCGACTTTTAAGCATCTATATAAGATACATGAAGTCGCTAAATAAGGTGACTGAGTTAGTTTTGTCAAATATGTCGTAAAGTTGCCAATTTCCTAGGTACAAGTGATTCATTTTTTATTGCACATACTGGATATTGAAACTCTATTTATGTCACACAAACATCAAGAATTATTGACATTAAGAGTAGTAATATGCTGGCGGGCTTCGGAAATACCAACCGAAGCAAGCCTATTCAGGAAGACGTTCAACTAAAGTAGCTTCTGTTTCTTTTACTTTAATCATTTGATTCTAATATTGCAGGGGAATTGTTTGTTTTTCTTGAAATATAGGCGTTTTTCTCAAAATTGATAAAATAAAATTCATTATATAAGTTGTCCTTAAAGTTGGGACCTTTCCAGGGCGTATAAGTTAGGAAGTAATAAGCATGTTTTTTTAGTAACATACAATACCAAAGCTTCAAGACAACCGAGATTTTAGGTTCCAAAAAGCAATAAATGAACCAATATGACTCTGCCACGTCAAAACGTATGATGTACTAAGACTATGTGAGTGAGTATCCAAACAAGGCTCGCGTGGTCATTAGATTAAAATGTTTATAAAGAGACAGCATTTGAAAAAGCGACAATGCCACATTTCTAGAGCAATAAGGCAGTTATCGATTTGATATAAGCATCTTCAAGATCCTATTGATACTTCGCGAGTCACGTCTGCTACGTCCTCGATATTTCCTACCATCAGAGCTGCATACGTGTATGTTTGTTTATATAGTGGAAAGTCGTCTGGTTGAAGCCAGTTGAAGACCTCTATACATTCCCAAATGTTACAAATTTAGGAAGAGGTAAACAAAGGCGTGTTTTTGAATCGAACAGCGACAACGTCAAATGGTGTTTACAAACAAAACATGTGACAGTGCAGTACTTGAAATTCCTTACCAAATGAATAGCGAGTATTTTCCTTCAATTTCTGTCTTGTTTTCGATGTTTTTTTTCCACAAATTAGCTTTGGTATTGCAAACGTGGTTGATTCTGGAAAGTCCCAGCTTTCAGGATACCCTGTATGTGTTGTGATCTTTGCATATTGCATTAAAACAATATGAGTGGTTTCCATTTTCTTCGTAAAATACTAACGGGTTAGAAGAAGCACATTCATGGGACACATTTTTCAAGTCGATTCTTTCTCACGGTTGTTTGAATATTTTTCAAAAACAAATTACAAACTGGTTTTTGCGCTTCGCACAAAGGTTTTGTGGTGTCTTGGCTTAAACTAAACCTAAGATAACTCTACATGGTTTTATAGGAGAAGGCTTGAACATCAATTTAGAGTCTTAGCAACCTCAAAAATTACTTCCGATTACTTTCGATTTTCAAACAGTACTAATGATAATTTCCAGAAGGTTTAAGACTATAGATCGGCTTATAACAACGCTGCAGCTGACTTCAAGTTTCGAAATTATGCTATTTTATACAATAATACATAAATTATACCTTGAAAACATATAAGCCTATAATATGAGGGAAATCGACACCTTTTTTGAAAACATGGCGGTCATACTGGATCCGCCATTTAGATTTTTTAAGAATCGATATTTAATGAGTTATTTGCGATCTTAAAAACACTTGAAACTCAATTTAGGCGCGAAGAAAATATTTTCTGCAAACAGCCGCCACATTAGAACTGGTATTTCAATTTTTGAACAGTCGACATTAAGTAATCGTTAATAATGACCCAGAAGACATCTAAACCTCAAATTTGAGCTAAATCAAAACATTTTTACAAAGATGTACACTGTACTAAATCTGCCATTTTGATATTTAACAAATTGATATCATATGCTAGAAAACGTAGGAATAGATTTTTTGTCAAATTTAGTAAATCTTTATAAATTTAGTCATATTTTTGGACTTTTGAACCACTGAGGCGTCAATCTCATAAATATGCATGCCAAAGCATGTTTCGCATAGTATAATTTAAACATTAACTATTATTATGTCCGTGGAAGATAAGTGTAATTGGAACGCAGGAAACCTTCCATTTTATGCCAAAACACAAACGACTGGTCAGCGCCTTGGCCCAGATGCCGAACTTGTGTCATTTGACGTCACGACCGAACCTCAACGGGTGAGAGTGGTCCGCTACAGCACCCATCACAGAGAATGTCATAACTTCCTTAAATTTTAGGTAATCGGAATAATTATTTCAGATTTGTGAAGGGTACCAGTATACTAGCAAGTGAAACTAGTAATAGTAATATTTTTGACTATAGGAAGCTTCCTAATTATCCTAAAACAACCTAACAAAAAAGCAATTTGTTGTAATAAGGTCAAACGTATGATGTACTAAGACTATGTGAGCCATTATTGAAACAAGGCAACCGAAACCGCCACACTTCTAGAGCAATAACGTAGTTATCGATTTGATATAAGCATCTTCAAGATCCTATTGATACTCCGCGAGTCTCCTTCGTCCTCGATGTTTCTTTCCATCAGAGCTGCACATGTTTGTTTATATCGTGGAAAGTCGTTTGGTTGAACCCAGTTGAAGACCTATACATTCCCAAATGTTACAAATTTAGGAAGAGGTTAAAAAACGCGTTTTTGAATCGATCGATGAATTTTAAGTTATCGGAATAATTGTTTCAGATTTGTGAAAGATACCAGTATGCGATTATATGCAAGTGAAACTAGCAGTATTTTCGACTATAGAAAGCTTCCGACACGTAATTATCCTAAAACAACCTAAAAAAAAAAACGTCCGAAGCGAAAAAAGCAATTTGTTGTAATTTGTTCAAAACAGGATACAGTTCAGCAACCTCTTGATTCATGTCAAATGGCATCCAACAAACGTGCTTATAAAAAAAACTAGAAACATTTCTCCTACCAATGTACTTAGGCATGCCTCAAGAAAAACTAGCTACATCTCAAAAAACATCTGGTTACAAAAATGTCTGCAAGTTCACATAGCTGCCTAGTATAACTGCCACTTCTAAAAATAGAGATCTACACAGGATGATTTTTAAGTGTTTTGTAGTAAAATGTTATTGTACCGATGGTGTAACAGGTGATTTGTTTGGTACAAGTTGTGATATGTTCGTCTCTTGCCAATCACCCTGTAGTAATAAAAGCTTAAAAAAAATATCGCGATGATATGTAGCTACAATATGTTTTTCGTTACTAAGAGTTTGCTTATGTTTTGTTACAGTTTCATACTGGAAGCTTCGACAGCGTAATTTTTCACTTTTTAAGAACTGCACAAAAATCAGCGAGCATTATTTTTATTAATTAAAAACTTTAAACTTCCTCGTTGGTCAATGACAGCAGAACAAAAAATTATATTGAAAATGCATATATAAAAATATACTGTTTTTGTAGTATTTTTCCAGCATGATGTGACGCCTCATGGAACTTCAAGATTCATCTGCTCACCTAACATTGAAGTTTTTGTTGAAATTTTCCTTTTCTCAAAAGTTTAATTGCTGCTTTTCAAAAAGATTGTTCCGGTTCGTTCAACTACCTACGTTAAGCTTATTAATTTATTTCAAAAATGAATTAACTCACTTTTCTTTGTGCATTTTCGGTATTTACTGAAGTCTTAAGTCCATCTACAAAAAATAGCACATCATATCTTGGGTCCACAGTTTCTCTAACTCTATTCTAGAAAAAATCACGCTGTCAAAAGCAATTTTTAAAAAGCATTTCAAGGTTGTATGGAATAAACATCACGCTTTTACTATAATATTGACTTCGGTAATATATCTCATTAGACTTAAAAGTATTTACGAAAATTATAAATACATTCGCTAAGGATAAACGCCAGACCGCTCTTAGATTGTAGGCGCTGATATTTAGGTGGATTTTTTCTGGTTTTATGGCAAACGAGGAGGAAAAGATTATTAACATATTTGATTAACCACTCTTCCCAATTGAACACAGTTTTTTAAATAAAAAAAAACAATAAATTTCAATAAACTCTGAAATTAATACCATAACAACGTCGCAATATGGAGGATAAGGCAAGTGTCAAAAAGCGAGTAATTTTATGCAAGTTCCCAAAATATGATTGTCATTCTAGCATAGGTTGTCAGATCTACACAATTTTGTGAATTATCATGATGTTATTTCTTTATTATTATTAAATGGAAACACACTTCGGACAATGTTAAACAACCCCGCACAAAACATATGAAAATAGGTTCCAGTTGATTAGCTTAAAAAATTAGTATGATATGGGTATTTATCGCCTTCCTAAACAAAAGTTCTTATGGGGTCAAGGCGCTCCTGTGATTAGGGAGTGAATGTGTAGATCTCGGATGTTATACTGAAAGTAATATTTCATTAAAAACCTTATAGAAATGTGTTGGGGTGTTAGGTTTATTTTGACCATGATCATTGCAAGGTCAAGGCTATTTAGGCCGAAAGTACTAGTGTAGTGAAGATCTGACAACCTCCATTGACTCGACACTTATTTTGACATTTCACATAACCTCACTTACTTTTGTTGATTATACAGCAGGATTTTCCTCTGCATGGAGCCTATATACCAGGAGAAACGATGGCAATGCTATTCCTGCTATAAAAACGACCCGAAACTTGACGCCTGGAGTACTAGTGGTGCTTTGACAGGGTTGCCCTGCTGGAGGATTTGATTCCAAATTTGGTAAATCTTTACTTTTCATAAATCATCTCCCCGCTCTTTGAACCAAATTGACCCCTTTAAATTAATCAACTGTGACTGTGTTTTTCAAGTAGCAATTTTGAGGGTTTTTATGCTTGTTCTGGGGAAAGCATGTTCGGTCCATCTGGCAATGCTGTGCATTGACAGATACGACATATGGATACCAACAAACGGATGGCTTCTTGTAATTTGTGAGGAACTGCTGAAAACGCCTCCCTCTGAGCGGTGATACAATGTTTAATGAGGGGATCAGTAACATGTACATTGTTTGGAATTCCTGTTTTTCTCCAAAATGCATGGAAGATGGGTCACTTGGTAGAAGAATAGATGAAATATGCAAGAATTTGTTCCAGGTGTTTTAGAAAAGGTGACGTCTTGAGAAACAAAATGGAACTAAACGTGTATTTTATAGGAGCTCCGGCAAATTTTACAGACAAGAATGATCCTGGTTTAGTATAAAACTGTGGCATCAGCAACAAGTTGTCAGTTTGAAATTACATTTTTTCCAAACCTCAGAAACCCTGAGCAGGAGCACTAGCTGCGATCACCAAGCCCTCAGTCTGACATCAAGGTTTAGTATATAGGGTCCATGTTCCTCTGCGTCAAAGCACGATATTAGTGCCTCAAGCAAACTATTATTTTATAATTAAAACAAAACCTCCTCAAATGTGCCACTTTGTGGTCGTAAAGACAATCTGGCAAATCAGTTCTGCAGCTTAATCTAAGAAACTATACACGTTTATTGTACATTTACGCATAATAATTAATTAATAATTAAGTCGCCTAATTCCAATAAATAATAATACCATCACATTAAACATAACCAACTAATTGTTATTCCCTAAAAACTGAACAAACATTCAACGTAACAATTGCCTTTAGGTTTTGCTTTACTTTTGTAAAAATCGTAACACTAATCGTTGCAAGTAAAATTGCGCTACTCAAGCCCGCGTCACACGCGAACTTTTAATATTATATACAGGGTGGAACACAAACCAACATATTTACAAAGGAATTGATTATAATTAATCTTTTTGGATACGGTTACTTGACCAAGTAAATTTGAATGGCATGAGATAATTTTTTTTGTTAATTGATATTCCTTAAAAACTTTCCTAAGAACAATTTTACCACCCTGTATAAAATAATTTTTACATTCTTGGCATTTTAAATACACCTCAAAAATGTTTTTCCTTGCGATATGTGCATGCATCGTATAATATGTATGTTAAGATATTTTTTAAATATTGGGGAGAGAAAAGTTGATTAGGAAAAATAATATCAGATATATAAAAATATTCATCAACATCCTTCAGTTAAATGAACTGAATAATATTCGAAATTAATGGGTTAAAATTGGTCAGCAATATAATATGTGGGACGTCTCTACGCTGTTGCCAAGCTTAGTTTGTAACGTGAGCATAGGGCAAGATAAGCATGACAGAAATTGGTGAATTGATACAATTCAATAAATAAATTCATGAATGAATAAGTACTTATAGTATAGTATGGTAATTTTACAACTCTCAGCGTTCGCTGGGTTCAAGAAGCATCCAAGATGATTAAATGTAAATTAGATGAATTAGAATAGACATTTGAAAGCCGGCAATATTTATAGTGTTTCAAGTCACTTGCTCTATTAATAATATCTATTAGTCCGAGCCATATCTTCACATCTGATGAACAAATATGCCGATTCGAATTTTTTGCATAATCTTATTCAAAAGGGACTTTTAACGAATCGGCATGATGCTAGGACCAAATTTTCGTCAACAATTTCCAAAATTGCCAAATTTTATGTGTTTAGGTTTTTTGAGACATTTTTCGGGATATAGGCGATATGATATTTGAAAAAGTGAGAAAAACAATATGAAAAAACGAACATTTTTGTATTGTCAATGTTCATAGTTATTCTTCAAACATCATTATCACAATCCCAAAGCATTCCAGAATGTATCGTAAAACTTTGTTTTTAATTGTTAATCCCAGATGATACACTTGGTAAGCAATTAAAAAATAAAAGTTTTTTCCTCAGATGTTTTGGGATTTTGTTGATGTACGCTTAAAGAATGCTCAGGAATATTGGAAACATTGAAATTTTCGTTCTTTCATATAGCTTTTCGGGATCGAATATGGCATATTTCGCACTCTTTCAAATATTGTATCGTATGTATCTAGAAAACGATCAACTTCAGATAAACATTCTAAAGCACCTTTTTTGTTCTGAATGTCCTAAGAAACCTAAAAACACTGCGCCTCAGGAATCTGTTTAAAAAAGTTGTGACTCAAATTAGGACCTGGCCACATGTAGATTCGCCAAAAGGAGACCTTTTGAATGATATTAAGCAAAAAATCCGAATCAGAATATGTTTCCCATAAGACGCGAAGACATTGCCCGGACTATATTATATATTATATGCTAATGGATGTAAAGTTGGTTATAGGGACAACTTTAGGTATTCTAATATGATGGCAAATACCTAAACGCCTAAAGTACTGTAATAATTACAACTTTAATCGTCAAAGATCAAAACCTTGAACGTGGAATATCCGAATTGGATGCAAATTTCATAGGGTGAGAAATGAGTAGAGAAAACATAAAAACTGCTGCATAATTATTCTCGAGCAAAATAGTGTGTAGCAAAACTCCATGTCTACCTAACAGTTTTATAAACCAAACAGTGATCGCACGGTGTTCTTCTATATAAGTCTGCATCGTTCTGATATCAACCATCAGTAAATGGCAAGAGCGTATGACATCCCTGGCTAAACGTACGTGAACAAAATTGACCGCGCCCTTTATGGTACGTACAAGTACTGAACGGAGGCCGGCGGCAGAGAAAACACAAAATGATATACTGCAAATTTACAAAAGTGTTCTTGAGATAACATTTCGCCGCTGTGTCATCGGAATCCCATGCCGAGCTCGGTAACCAATCACTTCAGGATTCATAGCAAGTCGTCTCTCAAAATAATTCAAATTATTAAATAAATCTCATCTATGGTATTTTTTCATACATATGTATTTTACTATTTTATCATCATTTTTTTTTATTTTAGTATTCCATTGTTCTTGTTTCTGGTTTACAATTTTGGCGTTTTTCTCCAACATTCACAAGGCTTCCTACTACAAATCTATAATAAAATATACTAAGGCGCAAAACATACAGGGTGAATTCCGTTATTACGCATGGTATCTGTAAACGTTAATTACAGAAATTGTAGCCAATAGTATCTCCTTACTTGAAAAGTACTTTTAATTCTACAGGACAACTCATAACTACTACTAACTTTTTAATGGAAAGACCTACATTTTGTAGCAGATTTGGATAGGCCCTTCCATACGAACCAATTTGATGTAACAACCATAGGGTTTTATTTTAAAATTGTTGAGATGTTGGACTGTCTATTGAAAAAAAGGAACGCTCAACTTGGACGTCTTGCAGCTAGGAAACTGTTATTGCTTATGTACTGAATTTTTCGTTAGGAGAATTTTATGATCCCATGTTTTCTCCCTAACCACTTACTTTTTCAGATTTTTTGATAGTTTATACAGCGTGATCCAGAACGCTAAGTAAACGATTCACCAAAATTTTCAAAAGAAAAAACTCTGTATATTTTCACACCCTTTGATTCCCCTTTTCACAAGCTTTTTTGATGTCTGGTTTAAGGGGGTTTGTAAACTGATTTTCGAGTTACAATGACCTTTTTGTCAGGGTAAATGGAAAATATTACCTTTCAAAATCAAAAATAGCATTTCTTTAGTAACGATAGAATGCAAAATTTGTGGATTTTCATTATTCAATTGAATCTACCCAGGAAGGTGTCCAGAAAAAAGCTTGTAAAGCGGAGAATCAAAAGGTGTGAAAATATATAGGAAGTTCCATTTGAAAATTTTGAGAAATCGATCATTTTGCGTTCACAACATCCTGTATAAAGTATCAAGAAACTGAAAGAATAAGTAAATTTTGGATCATAAAATTGTTCTGATGGAAAATTCAGTACATTATTAATAACAGTTTCTGAGTAGCGAGTTGTCAAAGTTAAGCGTTCTTTTTTTTCGATAGACAACCCAATATCTCAACAATTTGAAAATAAAACCCTATAGTTGTTACGTAAAATTGGTAAAGTTGAGTATCGTTTTCGAAAGATTGTCCAATATCTCAACAATTTGAAAATAAACCACTACAGTATGATATATCAAATTACTTTGAAAGGGCCTATTCGAATCGACAATAAAATTTAGGATTTTAAAAAACGTATGACTGGGTCACCACGTAGTTGTAAACCACCCTGTAGAGAAAAATATTTTCCAAGTTAGGAACATAGCGTTGGCTGCAATTTTTTTATTTATCCTCTTTAGATACCTAAAAACTTACCCTGTATATAAAACGAAAGTGTTGCGGCACTGCTGTCACAATAAAAACAAAAGTTGGAAGCTCATTATAATTATGTATTCATTTGTTTTCATTGTGAGCACAATGGGGGGTAGCACTTTCATTTTGATATATTTTTGTCTCAGTGTCTTTATTAAGCATTTGAAGTAGAAAGTCTTGCGACCATGCTCTCAAACAAAAATAGTGAGCAAAATATTCGAAAATAGAAAAATGTGGAGCAGAAAGTCCAAAATTTCGACAGTTCAAAATATATATGCTCTTAAATATTGAAATCCATACATACTATAGATGTGATCAACTTTAAATTAGACCCTGATACTTTTTATTATGAGTGATCTGGATTTCATTGATATATTCTACAAATAGACCAGGTGCAGATTCATTGAGGAGGGAATCTAAAACGTATCAACAATGGTCGACAATGATGTGCCGTAAGCCAAATTTTGTCGAGTGTTATTGTCGCGCGCCTAAGTCGCTTACCTCCTCGTCAATGGCATCTTGCTATGATTATCACTCAACAATTCAATCTATAAATTCTACTCCACCACGACTTCATGGTTATCATCGACTCCCAACCGCTGAAAATTCAGAACAGTTTTATAAATTCGCAGTACAGTAAGTGACCGCCCCATTTACGGTTCGTACAGATACTGAACGGGTGTAGGCGGTAAAAAAGCGGCCGCCGGAAACGCAAGATGATAGGCCGTCGCAGTCACGTGACTTGTTGCATTCGGAGTTGGGGGAGGGGGTGGTGGCGCTGGTGGGAAGTAAGCGGAGCGAGCGGGAATAACAACGGCGGCCGGTTAATCGTCGTGCTTAGCGTCAGGTGCCGTCGCCAGTCCCGATGTCAGCGTGCCGCCACTCGCCACTGAAGAGTCTATAGAGTTGTCGCCGTTGCGGATGGTCATGCTGCGCGATGAAGAGAAGCACAGCTTCATTATGAACGGGAACTTGGTGCCTGAACAATAAACAGAAATTTAGTAGTAGGTTAAGAAAAAAGCTATCCATATGAAAATGATTTCTAAACGTCTATAAATTTCTTTTAGGAGAACTATGACAATAAATTACAAAGTGTCTCAAATTCGATCCTCACCATTGGGATCACGGAAACTGTATAAGATACTAAGTCGCTTAAATGGGGGTAAAGTTGCGTATTAAGGTAATTAAGAAACTGCCGCTTAGAAAGTTTCGAAATTCAAAGTAGTTCCGAAAAGAGACGAAAAAACCGAATTATCCCAAAGTAGTTTTAATTTTTTTCATGACTTAATTTGTAGTGGGATTTTAAAATAAATTACACATTAACATTGCCACTTTTTCTACTTTACAAGATAGCATAGTCTCTTGTCCTCCAGCATGAACTTTA